GCAATAGTTTTTAAAAATTTAGCCTGACAGTAATGAAGTATAGAGAAATAACTGAAGAGAAGATGACAAAACAGGCACTGAAAATGTGTAAGATATCATGGGACATCGTCTGCTTGTGCAAATCATGTTCAACATGTGACGTCACACATCTCAGCAGCTTTCGGAGAGCTCTTCAGGTGCTATGTCGGGGCTATATTTAAGTTTTTTGTAATTGATGATAATCATAATCGAATGTTTCCAAGCATTGAATTTTGATAACCTTGTCCAATCATAGTTTCACCTTTGCAATAATGACATTGAATTTAGTTTTTAAAATCAATGAGCCTTCTCTTTAAATACAGTCATGTATAATGGTGCTGCGTAAATCGCATACAATCATGTCTGCTAATTAGATAGGTGAATTGTTTGATGAGCTAATAATAGTACGTGAGAGGGAATGGATGGAGGCACTTTGGAAGGAGCTGATGTCTGATGAATGAGTTCTTCTCTTCTGTATGTTTTTCCTCATCATTGTGGCGTGGGTCCAGCGGTCCAGCCATTGAGGGATCATAGAAATCGGGCTGGGTGGGGCGGGGGGGGGGGGGCTTATATAATATATATAGAAACTCGATTAACAAGGCCAATGATTGGAGAAGGAACGGTACAAGCGGTAATATCGTAATATCATCTTTCCAAGCTCCCTTTTCCAGTCGCCCCCTCCCTTTCTCTCCTTTTCATCTTATTTTTATTCATTTCTTTCTCATTCGCCATCCGATATGGAGGTCATAGGATGTACGCCCCCGCGTGTCATATTGTTACCTGATATGATTATATCAACTGATTTCTCCTTACCTTACGTAGACCCGAACAAAATGACTGCAGCGTTAATGACACACAAAAGCAAACAGAAATGAACAGTCGATTGAAGAGTGTAAACACCCCGGTAACTACATGTACTGATTGACTGACATAATAGAAAAGAGAGTGGTGATGATATGACCACTCTAAGATGGAGAGTAATATGGCCGGGGCGATAGGAAGAGAGAGGGATATACAGATAGAGAAAAGGATATAGAGAGAGAGAGAGAGAGGGAGAGGTGAGAGAGAGAGAGAGAGAGAGAGAGAGAGAGAGGATGAGTGGGGTGGGGTTTGAAGGGGAAGGGAGGGGATAAAATGGGTGAAAATATTATAATTCAAATTTAAATTTATTGATTAGATTTGGACAAAGGATAACAAAAAAATAACTTATTGTCACCAAAAAAATTCAGTGCAATTCTCGAAAATTCAACGTACATTTTGTAACAGAAATAACAAAAAATACGTAATTACGTACTACCATACTGTTATAAGAGATGGAGAGAGAGTAAGAGAGGGGCTACAAGGGGAGTGTGGGGTCTTTGCCATTGGTATTGTCTGGCAAAGGGCACAAAGAACGCAGCTAGCATCCACCCACTCGCCAGCCCTTGTTTGAAGACTATGCACAAAAAATGAACAAATAAAATAGCCCCGGGGCAATTAAAATATAAGTAAGGTCAGTAGCAAATCCAGGATTATTTGATATCGGAAATACGCTCTTACAAGTAATGATAAAATGAATAATAACTAGAAAATGATAAATAAATGAAACAAAACTACAACAACACCCAGAGGCGGCGGACCCGGGGGGCAGGGGCACAGTGCCCCCCACACTTTTTCAAGTACCCCAAAGGTGCCCCTTTTTCCATAGGAAAAGTGCCCCTTTAACTTTGTAAGAAGCGCCCCTTTTTACATAAAAGTGCGCCTATTAGTTTGATATGTGCCCCTATTAATTTGTTAAAGTGCCCCCTCCCCTTTCCACCTCTGATATGTGCCCATTTTATTTTGACACGTACCTCTTTTCCCTGCAGTTCCCAGTTTCCTTTGCAATAAGTGTCTATTTCCATTCTCATAAGTGTCCTTTTTAATCTCTAGTAGGTGCCCCCTTTTCGGGTACAAGAAGCGCCCCTTTTCACTTTTGTTAAGCGCCTCCGTCACCTCTTATAATTGTCCTATTTAAATCTTAGAGGTGCCCCTTTTACTTTGACAATTGCTCTTTTTTTCCTTTGTAAGAAGTGCCCCTTTCCCTTTAAATAACTACCTCTTTTAACTCGGATAACCACACCTTATATTTTCACATGTGCCCCCTTTCCTTTCTAATAAGTGCCCCTTTTCCTTATGATAAGTGCCCCCATTTAACAAAGAGTCCTTCGCCTTTTCATAAATGCCCCTTTTCACCTATGAAAATAGTCCTTTTTCATTCTCCTACTAGTGCCCCTTTTCAAGTCTGGTAAATGACCCTATTCAATTCTGAGAGATACTCGTTTTATTTTGACAAGTGCCCCCTTTTCTCCTAATAAGTGCTCTTTTCATCTCTAAGAACACCCCCTTTTATGTTGACACGTGCCCCTTTTCCTTCCTAATGAATGCTCTTTTTCCTTCATAATATCCGCTTTTCATAAAAGCCCCCTTTCACCTCCAATAAATGCCCCTATCAAAATCTGATCGGTGCTCCTTTTCTTTCAACAAATGCATATTTCCCTTTATTATTAGTGCCCCTTTTTCATTCTCATAAGTACCTCTTTCATATATGGTGTGTGCCCCTTTTCAGATGCGATAAGTGCCCCTTTTCACCTCTGATAAAGTTAACCTTTTTAACAATGATACGTGTCCCTTTTCCTTTCTTATGAGGAACCTATCCCTATTTCAGAAATGCCCCTATCAAAATCTGATGGTTGCCTCTTTTCCGTCGACAAATGCCCAATTTCCATTCACATAAGTGCCTTTTCATCTCTAGTGAGTGCCCCATTTTCACCTCTGATAATAACCCTTTGTACTTTGACACGTGTTCCTTTTATTTTCTAATAAGTGTCTTGTTCCTTCGATAAGTGTCCCCTTTTCCTCTCATCATTAAACGTGTCCCTAATTTCAAGCGACTAAGAGCAATATCTCCCAAAGATCACTCGCTACGCTCGCTCACATTTATAGATGATATAATTATGTTAATTATCAAAGGTCTTTTCAGTTTTACTGTTATGAGAATGTGCTTATTTATAACCCGATGAGGATTGGTTTTTTCCTCTGTATAAGATGTAGTTTCGCACTGCGACCTCACAAATCTTGTATTTTTCCTCGCTCGCAAATTTTTCGACCATCACACCCAACTGCAAGGTATGATGCTTAAGCAAAATTTTATACGATGTATAAAGAGAAACAAATATTGAAATTATCCATGATAATGTAATCAAATTATAGGGATATATACCAATGTCTAAAAATTGTATATTTTCGCTTTGAGATTTCCCTTCGTAGGTGCCCTTTTTTTCTCCAGAAAGTGCCCTTTTTTGTTGGTGCCCCCCCCCCCCACTTTGGAAGTCGCTCCGCCGCCTCTGACAAGAACTATTTTTTTAAACGGAGGCACAACGCGTTTATAACAATTGTGTAGGAAGACTTGGGCTATGGACCGGGAATCACGGGGCACGTACCCCCCCCCCTTCCTCCCCCTCGCAAACTTTATCTGGAATAAGCACCTGCAAGTTGTGATAAACTTTTCCCCCTTTTGTTTAATTACATTTGTGTATTTCTTATTTGACACGTTTTATTGATGCAGATGCATGTCCATGTATGTATTGCGTGTTTGCCCGAGACTACGTTGGAGTCAGGGGCGTCTCCAAAGGGGAAGTGTGGGGTGCGACCCCCCCCCCCCCCCACCCCCACCTGTCAGGAAATTGTCGGTAAAATTGCACTGCCGTCGGGAAAAGAGAGAAAGGGGAGGGGAAAAGAGAGAGGGAAAGGGAAAGAAAAGGAAAAAAGAAAAGGAAAAGAAAAGAAAGAAAGGAAAAGAGAAGAAAGAGAGAGAGAAAAAAAAGAGGGAGGATAGGAAAGAAAGGAAAAGAAAGAAAGGATAGAAAAGGAAAAAAAGAAGGAAAAGAGAATAGGGAAACAAAAGAAATGGGGATAAAAAGAGACTAGAGAGAGTTGAAAATCTTTTTCAACATGGATTCCGATTTTGACCCATAATTTCCTAAAAAGGGACTATTAAACTGATTATTTCAGTCAAGTTGGTAAGTGGAACTGATTTATTATAGCCTAGGCCTAATTTACAATATAACATGCTCGAGGTAAAATGACATTTTGGGGGATTTTGGGGGCAAAACGCTACGACCAGGACTGGCCGTGGCGTTAGCAAGGACATGTGTATAAACGGCTTCCGTCTCTAAAGAGAGAGCCGACCCTACCCCAATAAGAGGCTAACGAACGAAAGAGACGGAAAATTCGGTCTAAGTGAATCCAAGCTCTTAGATGTACAACAAGCTTGGTGTATGATTGACACAATATACATGTACGTGATATAACAATACACAAACACATATCAGTTCCGCTTTCGGGAAAATACTGGTCTCTGATTGGTGAAAGTGATCGGGAAGGGACTTTCCCCTATTTGTCCGAAATCGACGGAACACCGAATAGTGCTCTGCAGTAGCCACTGCCACTACATCTAAATCTATATGGATTCATTTCATGATTTCGGGTTATGCTTGTGGATTTACAAGTGATATTTGGCAGAAATATGGCTCATAGTAAAGGTAAGATCACAAATCGTCATTAGCTATTGCATTTATCGCCCAGAATCAGAATGTGATTCATTCAGTAACAAGATCCGCCGCTTTAAATTCGAAGCTAGTGCAACTTGAAGTGAATCTTCGTTGATTTTGAATGCGGGGCACAAACACGACCACAAACTTTGCTTGATGCTACGAGGAAGGAAGTTTTCGTCTTTCAATATGTGTGTATTTTGCCCATAATCATAACCTGTGCTTAATGCCTCAGCTCAGCTCAGCTTAGCTTATTGAATGTCCTTGACTTGTCTTGTCTTTTCCAAACTGCGTGGCAGTGAACACGTTGCACAGAATGACACGGAAGAATGATCGTGCACAATAGCCTAGCCCTACCCAATCTCGACCCGGCTATTGTGCGCACTGTGAATGGAATGGGATGGGCCAGCCAGCACAGGCCCGGCCGTTATAGCTTATGAGGGTGATCCACGTGTACAAATATTACTCAATTATGAATATAATAGAACAGCTAGGTGGGCTGGGTGATGGTTGAGTATTGAGACTTGCATTTCACTGTTTTGAGGTTTGCAGTAGACAGGTGCTTTCCTTAGCGTTGGCATTACAGTAGTAGTGACTGTTGTCTGCTCTGAGGTTTCAGCTAGCAGAGTAAAGTTCTGGAGCTAGTTAAATTACATTCAGCATCCGTGTCAAAAACTAAGGTAAACTGTGAGTTCTTTGAATTTGTTTGGATAGATGTGTAAATGTTGATATGTGTAGGCACGGGTGATAACGCCTTGAGACTAGCTTGTACATATGTGCATGGGAGTGGTTCAAAACACTTATAGAGTGGTTTCATTAATGTACAAGATATTATCTTTATATTTAAGCAGCAAAACCTGAAGCAATAATATAAAATATTATTGCCAATGTTATCCAATTCATTATGTTGTATCGACTCAAATGCCTCTTTCCTTTCTATTTACTTATATACTAGGGCATGAGAACACAACAGCTTGTTGTGGCTTATGTTGATAACAAAGATGTTTTCATATATATTGAATCTTGTGTGACTTCAGAAATTATAACCTTTGTAACTCTAAAGATACATGACCAGATGCAAATTGTATTTTGTTCTTCATAACGCTTGTCCCATGCAAGGCGCTGTAACTGTCTGTCAGAATTCTGATACAGATTAGTCACAAGGTACAATGATTTTTATCTCCATCATATTTTTTTTTAATTGACTACATTCTACATGTACATCAAAATGTATTGTACTAGATGTCACAAATTTAACTCCTTTATAATTTTTCTTCATTAGTCAACAATTTTTTCTGTTTGAATCGATGAATATCATAACAATCTTTCCCCATAATCATACCTTCCATAAACTGTAACATTAATTTTTTTTGTCTTTTTGTTTTAGGTACCGGTATGGCCTTTCACATCACGATGGTGACGCTGCTCACCCTAGGAATGATGGGTTCAGAGGTCAAAGCAGTAGAAGTAGGCGAGCACACACAACAACTTGCCAGGGCCAATAACGCATTTGCCCTCCATCTTTACAGTGCCACCAGGGCAACTCATCCAGACCAGAACCTCTTCTTCTCCCCGCTCAGTGTCTCTACCGCCCTGGGCATGACCCATCTTGGAGCTAGAGGAACATCCTCCGCGCAGATGAGTGAGGTCCTCCGCTTTAATCTCCTGGAAGAAGAGCATCTGCATGCGTCCTTCAAGCAGCTCAACGCTCTTCTCTATGAGTCCTCCAACAAGTACACGCTGAAGTCTGCCAACAAGCTCTTCGGTAAAGCCGGTGCTGACTTTCTGCAGGAGTTCTTGGACAACACTGGCAATTTCTACAATTCGGCATTTGAGGCGGTGAAAGATTTTGCAGCCCCAGAGGCAAGGACAATGATCAATGATTGGGTGGCCAAGGAGACGGAGGATAAGATCCAGAATCTCTTTCCTGATGGAGTTCTGAACTCTCTCACCCAGCTTGTTCTGGTGAATGCCATTTACTTTAAGAGCAACTGGGTCAAGTCTTTCAACCGTGACGACACAGAGCCTGGGGTTTTCAGGATGAAGGATGAAACTGCGCATCTTCCGATGATGTTTAAGGATGGGGAGGTCATGATGACAGATGACAAGGAGAGGAAATGTTTTGTCCTAGAGATGCCCTATGATGGTGAGGACCTTAGCATGCTGGCCATCCTGCCTTGGGATGATGATGGCTTGGCCAATGTAGAGGAACAACTGTCCATGGAGGTCCTAGACTTCTGGGACAGTGACCTTGAGCCTGAAAACGCAATGTACTGGGTTCCAAGATTCAAGCTAGAGGATACATTCAGCCTGTCATCCATTCTCCAATCCATGGGAATGGCAGACGCATTTGATGCTACCAAAGCTGACTTCTCTGGCATGACAGGGGACCAATCTCTGCACATCTCAGAAGTAATCCACAAGGCGTTTGTGGAGGTGAATGAAGAAGGGACTGAAGCGGCCGCTGCAACAGGAGTTACTATGACGAAAAGGTCCATTAGTAAGCGTTACAGGCTGAGATTCGATCATCCTTTCTTGTTCCTGATCAGAGATCGCCGGACCAAGGCTGTCCTCTTCCTGGGACGATTAGTAGATCCCCCTCATGATATTAGGGTTCATCATGAGGAGTTGTGAAGCACTCTAAAAATGCTTGGACTGAATCAAGGAACAACATATGGGCTTTCATGAAATAAGTAGATTGAAATAAGTACCAGTAGATGTTTAGCTAACATTTAACCATCATGAAATGAGTTCTTGGGCAAGTCTTTGTCCCAAATACTACCGACCACATCTAAAATTTCAATATATCTGATGAAAGTATCAAGCTGATGGCCTTACTAAAGCTTGAATCAGACTTAAAATGGTATTTTTATATTCATTTATGTTCTTAATTCTGTAATACAATTCAGTAATACTTGGTAACATGTGATATGAACCGGATACTTGCCCTATTTCATATCTGTACTGAAGATTTAAGGTTTGTGACTTAGATACATGTAAACCAGGTGCTCTTTAATGATTTATAGATATCATGCAATGGTACTTTGGTGGAGCTAAATATGACCAGTGCCATATTGATATTTTTAGTATATTTTTTTATTCTTGAGTTTTTTGCTTGTATTGATAAATGTGGACTAACCTACTGTAACCTTAAAGTTGAGAACTGGTCATGCTATCACATTGTAAGAGAAACTGTCTGAAAAGTGGGAAAGTTTTATTAAGTAATAAGGTCAGGAATTAATGTACATTGTAAGGTTTTTGAATGATCAAAATGAATAAGAAGTAGATTCAATCTCGCTGAAAATGAAATATACAATTCACACAGAAATGAATATATGGGACAATACACACTTACATGTACCGGTATGTGACATGAAAAATTGGTCAAAAATGTTCAGCTTTTTTTTTGTCATATATATATATATATATATATATATATATATATATAAACCGGTACATTTTTTTTAATATGAGGGCATTTAGAATACAGTACTTTTCAAGTGACATATTTCTTGTATGAGTTTCTCCCAAACAAGTAGAAAAGGAGCAAGGATACTCACAAGTCATTTTCAGTTTTACCTGAGCTTAATCCTCTCTTTACATCCAGGCTTTAACCCGTCCATGTCATTTGAGTCAATCCATTGAATAATAAAATGCCAAATTTCAACCTCCTCATCTTGAACAAATAACCATTTTCATGTCATGTAACAAAATGATATATCAAATATTTTTTCATTTACAGTTGAGGACTATTGCTCTCCCACTTCTTTAAAGTATTTATGTACATGATTTTGTACATAATCAGGAGGTTGGCAAGTTTTGTAGCTTAATGGACTATCAAAACTCTTTAAACCAGGCTTTACTTAATCTGTTTTTTATGCATAGTCCATATTGCAAATTATCCTACTCTATTTTCCCTAAACCTCTTTAAACTTGATTCTTACAACAACAAAAATTACACTAAATAAAATTAGGAAATGATTTTATAGTATTACAATATTATAAAGTAGAATAGTAGGAAAGCTTAAAGCTTCCATAAATGGTAGGGTGTATAGAACGAGGAACATATACTTCTCTGTAAGACAGCTTATATTTTTGTTTCGTTACTTTAATACAAAAGTCCCTTTATTTTGAATACTTGCATTATTGTATTCTCTTGCGAAATAAATGTTCCATCACCAACACATTTTGAATTTTGAACCAATTGTCTGTGTGAAACATTAATGTGATTAAGAGATTATATTCTGTAGAGATTAAAGAACAAAATATGGTAAGCAACAACCAAATCAGCTGTTTATCAAACATTTCTGAACTATTTATCATTTCTTGAAGCTAAAAGAATGAAGAAAAAAAATTCATAGAGACACGTCAAGACTAACCTTTTTAAAATCCTTTTTATATATTACCATCAGTTTTCTTCTCGTTTCCCACTCTCTCTCTCTCTCTCTCTCTCTCTCTCTCGCTCTCACGATTTAGCATGCGCAACAACAGATACATACATATACACCCATAACTTACAATCATAAAAATGTATGTGTCTGTTTGAAGATAGTCATTTATTGCCAATAATTTTCAACCAAAAATAGGTTTTCATTCTCATAGAAATGATCCAACACAAAGTACCTTTGCTCTACAAATGTTTTTCATTTACAAACCATGTGAAAAGAGATCATAAGAGTAAAGGATTAGTATGCGAGATAGCATGTATGCAAGTGTGTGTATGTGTGTGAGAGAGAGAGAGAGAGAGAGATAAAGGAAAATGGAGATCGAGAGGAGATTTAGAGCGAGAGAGAGAGAGAGAGAGGGGGGGGGGTGGGTAATGACTGAAATGTGTTTTTGCCATTCAAGGGATCACTATCTACAAAAACCCATTCACATAGCAAGTGACAAGTACGTATCCAAAGCCATCATACCACATCTGCATTTCTGGGCACTACAAAGTTTAAAATTACATGACATGAGACAACAATAATAAACCTATCCTCTCCAACCGGTGCTATAGTTGTCCTAAGAACTATAAGCTAAGAAAGATAACCAACAGTTTTTTCAAGACTTCATACACTGAAGAAAGAAAGATTATCGAGAGTCCTTTTCAGGACTTCACTATCCTCCCTCCCTCTCACATGGTGCAACCGCAAGCCTACTGTAAATAACCATTTTTGTATAGCACATATCACATTACTGGTATGATATCATGTCCTGGTGTGCTTCTAAAGGGTTTGTATAGCATACCCTCCGTGTTATCACTGCACATTGCATTTTTAGGAGAAATCCTACCAGGTAACCATTAAACACCTGGGTGGAGAGTGACAACGGTGGAAAAATGCCTCACCTTGGCCAATGCACTTGACAGAGACTTGAACTATCTTCCTTATGATTAAGAGTGAAGTGAATGAACCCATTACAAGAAAGATACTTTGCCCAAACATGGGAACTTGTACAAGGAGATAGCAATAAATACTACAACTTAGCCAAATGATCAAGATGTTCAAACACGTATACAAAAATAATTCTGCAAATATAGTTATATATTCAATCCAAGGTTAGCTGTGTTTGAACGGACCACAGTGGTATTACATCGTAATGACAATGTCATAATTCCTTTCACACTACTGATATTCTTCTAATGATTATCAACAACCAAATTATACATATTTACAAACTAAATCGACTGATAAAAATACACAAATACATAAACATGACAATTACATTCTGTAGGAAATTGAAAAATAGTGCGAGATTAAAAATAGCCCTAAATAAAAAAAACTGTTTCCCTGCGAACTCTATATTTTAAGAATCACATCGTGTCTGCCTCAAATTGGCAACGCAACCTCCACTGGTTCATGCATGTAAACAGCCATGCAGAAATAAATAGGGCAAAGTCACATGAAAATTGACTGCTGAGAGCCAGAAGGGCGTTTACTCATATACTTTAATACAGAATAAAAGCCTTTCTGACTCTCAACGAACATTCCACATACAAGGTATACAAAACTAAGTTGAAAGAAAATATTTTGATCTAGTCTAGCCAATGGTTCATATGGTTCACTTGTAGGTACTGAGAGACATATTTAAAAAATTATGAAAATTTCAGGTATAGAGTAATTTAAATTTAGTACACTAGGAAGAAAAGATGACAAGTAAACAGGTATTAAACTATGGCCGGTATTCTCGAAAGCGGACCAACTTTAGATCCACGGTTTACTCCTCCGACTAAGTATGGAGTGCCAAGTGGCCATATGAATAAGTTTTTGAATATTTTAATCTGTCACTAAAACTATGAAATAATTATTTTATCTTGGTAATTTAGGGACATATCAAATTATTCAAAAATATATTCATATGGACACTTGGCATTCCATACTTAGTCGGAGTATTAAACCATGGATTAAAGTTGGCCGCTTTTGAGAAAACCATCCATAATGATCTAAATGGATAAGGTATCTAATATCTTTCTTGATATACTTTACTCAAAATCTTTATGAAATTACTTATTTCACTGCTACTTCTACAGTCGGTCTGTGAAAATGTATCATCACTGCATAAATACTTCAATGATATAACGATTTATGTAAAGTATATTATTTTCCTTAGATGCTAGTTCATGAGTCTTATGCTACATTGACATGATTAATAATATAAACACAAAGAATGGGATATTTACAAATGTTTTCCATTTGACAACACAGACCAGAAAGTTTCATCCTCATAAAAATATAAAGGAGAAATCCTTCCCATATTTCATATAATTACATAATTCCCTGACATCAGTAACCAATGGTCTTAATACCATGCCATATACTGGACATCCAGAAACTTTCTTCTAAATGAAACATTCACAAATTGCGAAGGTCTCAGACTTCTAAAGTTTCTGGGTGAACAGAATTCACTAGTATAATTACAATTTACTCTTTAATTAAAAAAAAAAATGGCCCACTTCTGTTATGCATTCAACTTGACGATGCATCTTACAAACAGCTGTTTCTATTATCATCATGCTTAAAGAGTGAATCAAATCATACCAACATCTCAATCATAAATGCTATTATTTGACAGACTGAAAGGAGTCTGTCCCTTTTTTTTTTTTACTATGCTTGGCTTAAAATCAATTTTTTGACATTTCTAACGAAAAAGAATAACAACTCGGCAAAATGTGATACCAGCAGTAAAATAAGCCTAAATGATAAGAATATGAAAAACAAAAACTAGCACCAAGAACTATTCATGCTCACACAAAATATCCCTTTCTTTCCTTCTTCAATTCAAACCAAAAGAAAAGAAAAAGGGATGTTCTCATACATGCCAACTACATTCTCTGCAAAATTCTGTATAAATATCACATTTTTCACTCCACCACCTAAGCATTATAAATTGATGATTATATTACATCCAAGGCATATTAAATCCATTAAATCGTTGTAATGGTGATTAATTTTTCTCTCTCAGCTAATCAGTGAGAAAAATCTACTTTTTTCTTGTAACTTAAAAATAGTTGAGGTACATCACAACTCCTAATATTTTTTTTTATACACAAAATGAACAATTTGACATGAATTATACTATGTACAGGAGTATACAGATAAATAATAAAACACATGTTTAATAGTGGGTGAGGGGGAGGCAGGAAACATACAGTTTATCCCAATGGCCATGACATCTTGAGAATACACGAACCAAAGGGTAAGAGATTTTGGCATTCAGGGTTAGAAACAACACTACAGAAGTACCTAACCCAAACTATGATGGGTAAATTCTGTCACCAAAATAAACAAAATTCTGCCACAATGACCATGAATTGCTAATTATCAATAATTCTCAATTCATAATCACTCAATGGTGACAAAAGATTAGATAAACAATGACAATCCTACGACTGGGATAGACTGTATATTTGGCTGGCCAATACATGTAACATACTTTCCCCCTATCCAAGTAGCATTTTGTATCAAAATATACAGACACACTCAATTTCAATTTCAATAGGATAGAGTTATTTCTGAAGCAGTATGCAATCATAGTTTTCAATTAACATTTTGGTGTAGAGAAAAGTCTGGTTTTCCTCACTGGGATTTACACTAAACATGTGGAGCAATCACACAATGAAATGACCAGTTCAGAAAGGAAGGAGTTTTCTTAAAATGTTAAAGCTTGGTTCAAACTTCAAAGACGAACAGGGCAACAGTACAGAATTTGAAAGGCACATAGCGTATTTCATCTCAACTTTACAACTAGACAATGAATGGGGATTACAATCATGAAGGGCAAATATTATACTCTCTCAAAAATATCTATCTGATATTGGTTTTTATAGTATAAATAAAACAATGTGTTGTAAAACACAAAAGCAGAGCCAAGGGCATTAGTAAACCGATTTATGGAATGCTAAATTTCAATTTCTTTATTATGTAAATATGTACCATACAGTGAAACCTGTAGAAAAAGACTGTGGTCTTCACTTTCTTTTGTTACATGTTTCAATGCGGAAAACTGTTTAAGGAAAACAGAAAATGTAGTCTGCATCTAGACAGGTGGTCTTTCTATAAAGGTGGTTGGTAAAGCAGGCTTCACTGCATAAAATAAATAGTCATGGAATGAACTTCATGACACGAGTGTTGTGTACTTTGTCCGTTTATTTATAGAAGAGATATGTTGCAGCTTGGTGTTCCATACATCATTAAATGAACGCAAACAATTTCCAGATACTATAAAACCAGAAACTTACCCAAGCATGAAAGTTGTGAACATTGTTAAAGATTTGCCCGAATTTCATCTGACTCGACACTGAAACAATTTAGTGCGGTGTGTTTCTTAATTTCTGTGTATTACAACACACAGATACATAATGAGCAAGTCCATACTATTTAGTCCCATATCTTCCCAACCGTATCTAAGATTCTAGTATACCCGGTGACTGTATAAAGCAGAGAACATTCCTAGAGCTTGAATAAGACAAATCATCAATTTCATTGTGAATTCATCCTCACAATTCCATGTACCGGTAGCAATTCACAATACTTGGTAAAATAGCTAGTACTTACTTGGTAACATAGAGGACGTACCTTGGACTTGCCAGAATATATAAAGAGGCCTTTGTTGCGTGTGGATACGATTTCCTCACCCGCATGCCATACTTTTTCTATTGAGGTGGTTTATCATGTGATATATGAAAGGGCCTTAAGGGGGGGGGGGTATCGTTCATATGGTCTTAAGGAGTTTGAGGATGAGGTTAATATGATGGATCAGGTGCGTTGCACTCTCGTAGACCTCAGTGATGTTCCCGACCCGGAAGTAGTTCATATGGTCTTAAGGAGTTTGAGGATGAGGTTAATATGATGGATCAGGTGCGTTGCGCTGTCATAGATCCCGGTGATGTTCCCGACCCGGAAGTAGTTCATATGGTCTTAAGGAGTTTGAGGATGAGGTTAATATGACGGATCAGGTGCGTTGCGCTGTCATAGATCCCGGTGATGTTCTCGACCCGGAAGTAGTTCATATGGTCTTAAGGAGTTTGAGGATGAGGTTAATATGATGGATCAGGTGCGTTGCGCTCTCGTAGACATCGGTGATGTTCCCGACCCGGAAGTAGTAGTTCATATGGTCTTAAGGAGTTTGAGGATAAGGTTGATATGATGGATCAGGTGCGTTGCGCTCTCGTAGACATCGGTGATGTTCCCCGACCCGGAAGTAGTTCATATGGTCTTAAGGAGTTTGAGGATGAGGTTGATATGATGGATCAGGTGCGTTGCGCTCTCGTAGACCTCTGTGATGTTCCCGACCCGGAAGTAGTTCTTGAGGTTCAAGCTGAAGTCTTTGGAAGAATGGATGAACTCCTTGCGGTACGTCTCAAGGGTCTAAGGAAGCAACAAAGGTATGATATGATAATATAATATTGATATCGATAAAATTATATTTTATTGTTTCACATTGCTTGTAAATTGTTTTATGTCAGTTCACCATTTTAAATGCACACAATGACCGAACAAAAATTATTATTGCATTGAAAAGCTGGTTGTTAAGAAAATATAGATAAAATGTAATGCATTAGGACACAAGTACAAGACTGAAACATAATACGAATTGATTGGATGGACCGTCAGGGAAATATTAAGTTTGAAGAATGATTCGTGGCAACCAAATGAAAAAGAAAAACACAAATACATCTGCTGCCATCGAACCCCCAATAATTATCAGAATCAAGTACTTTGATCAAGTATTTTCTTTGAGAGGTGCATGCTAAAAACTGCAATGAAAAGACATGTTCAGGTGAGCTCATTTTGGCTTCAAATGTTTCAAACAAAATGGCCGAAATAGAAGAGCCCTGGATGGAACGCACCTTTCTCTGTTCTGGATCTCTAAAAAACGATTCATCTTTGAAGATCATGTTGAGTGCTCCTAATAGATCCTTGATCCCACATGCTATATCCCTGTAAAATGATCATATAAAGAATTGTAAATTATACTGTATAGAGAATGATAACATACAGAAATATCATACAAATAGGGATAAGATATATGTATCCTAGAAAGAGTGAGATGGAATGTCATCAGTTTCAAGGTGAAACACAGAATTACAACTGAAGTTTGGACAGTTGAATGTTCAATCAGTACTTAAAGTGACTTGGTAATATTGTTGAAGGTTGTTGAAAAAAATTGCTTAATTTTAGTATAAAATGTTACTTACTATATTCCTTCTACTGTACTAACCCTCTGACATGCAAAAAATCCTGAAAAAATTCTCAAACCACGAAGATATCTATGGTTTTCTTTGAAGGAGTCAATGTATGACACCCTCTAACAGTGATTAACAGTAAATTCTCCCAACCAATTTTGAATTTTCCCAACCGTTTTTCCATGAAAAAAAGACATAAAAGAGGCTATGAAAAATCTGTCAACACTTAAATGTCTGGAATGGAATGTAGAGCCATTTTATTGCTTTGTGACAATTAACATTCACCTAAAATGTAATTAAATTGTAATATTATAGTTGGGAGAATTAAGGAATCGATCAGATCAGTTTTTCCCAATTTGTACCATGAATAATGGTCCAATTTCACTCAAATTTTCAGATTATCTTTAATTGTACATCTAGCATTGAAGTCACTACCTTAGCACCATTATCTCTCATCTGAACAATGTTACCAAGTCCCTTTAAATTGTGGTGGAATCAAGATTAGGATCCTGCTATGTTTCATCTCAAACAATATGGAAAAGGTTCAAAGGTCAAATATGAATTGGAGGTAAACAGAAAGACATAGTCCAATAGACAATTAACTGATACTATACATAAAATCAAAATACAAATGATTTTACTTGTCAGTCATTGTTAAAAAGTTGACAACAATGCATGTAGGAAGGACTTCATAAGGTCAAGTACGACTAGTGATATCAAAAAGAGCTCACATCCAATACACAGAAAAACAAATGGCTGTAAAAAATAAACCCATGTGATAAGAATTGAAACTGAAATCAAAATCAAAACTAATCACCTCAAATCCTTTGACCATAAAAGTGCCAGTAAGTCTTCATTATAATACAAGATGAAGGTCATAAATCACTGACCATTTTATTTATAAAAGGACACTGGCAGACTCTCATAATGCAGAAAACAGGTTGTGGACTTTTTATTGATTCCAGTAGGGACTTAAAGGGGCATGTACATGTATTAAACTCTCACAAGGAAAACAGGATTAGTGAATGATTTGTTTAGATATACACATTGCTTGGGCAAATTTTGTTGACTTTGAAAAAGCATTCGATAGCATCCACCGAGACAGCCTTTGGAAAATCCTACGCAAATATGGGATACCAGAGCAGCTAGTTCTTGTAATTAAGAGCTTTTACACCAATTTCACATGCAGAGTTGGAAACAGTAACCATAAGTTCCAAGTGAAGACTGGAGTTAGGCAAGGGTGTGTCATGTCGGCACTGCTCTTCAATATCGCCATAGACTGGGTGATGAGACAGGCAACTGAAGACCAAAAAAGAGGCATAAGATGGACCCTCTTTTCTACACTTGAGGACCTCGACTTTGCAGATGATCTCGCTCTACTTTCACACACCCACCAGCATATGCAGGAAAAACATCCAGACTCAGTGATTTTGCCCAGCAAATTGGCTTGAAGATCAGCCAAAAGAAAACAGAGGTGATGACCCTGAACATCTCGGATCCTTTACCAATTCAAGCAAACGGGGAAGACCTACCTATAACTGAGGAGTTTACTTACCTGGGCAGCACTGTCAGGCACGATGGAGGCGCAGGCAAAGACATTAAGAACCGTCTGAATAAAGCCAGAAATGCACTCAGAATGCTCAATAATATATGGAGATCGCAGCAGTACAGCACCAAGACCAAGCTAAAATTGTACCAGAGCTGTGTCCTTTCCACTCTCCTGTACGGCTCTGAATGTTGGAGAATGACTAAAAACGACCTCAGCAAGCTATCAGTCTTCCACACAAAGAGTCTTAGAAGAATATGCCGCATTTTCTGGCCAAACACCATCTCAAATGAAGCACTGTATGCCCAATGCCATCAAGACAGCATGGAGAGCATCATCACAAGAAGAAGGTGGAGATGGATCGGGCATGTAATGAGAAAGGACAGAGATGACATCATACGAACAGCCCTCCACTGGACACCAGAAGGCAAAAGAAAGAGGGGACGTCCTAAAACCACTTGGCGAAGAACTGTGGAAGGAGAGATTAAAGACCTGAACCACACATGGGATACAATCCAAAGACTGGCCCAGGATCGGAAAGAGTGGAAGACTTTTGTTGCTGCCCTATGTGCCAGGAGGCATAATGGGCAGTAAGCAATTGCTTGGGCGACATAAGTATTAAGTTCTCATTGGCCTAAAGATGGCACAAAGTTGACTGAATTCCCAGCAAAAGTTGGTTCAGGTATTTTTCCATTTCACTTTTGAAAATTCTTGTATGAATGCAATGTGTACTGCAAGATTATTCCAACAATAATAGAATGATTTATAGTTAAACCCGTCTATTGAAGTCACCCTCGGAAAACAGAAAATGTGACCACTGTAGACAGGTGGCCTTTCTAGACAGGTCTTACAACATGAATTTCTTTCTCAGGGGAGACAAATACATGGCCACTATAAACAGGTGGCCTTTATAGATCATTAAGACAGGATTGGTGTGGCTCTGTTAGATGAATGACCATGTAACACTGAAAGACTTGTCTTTCATCTTATTGATTTGATGGTTTGCCTTGATTGGTTTAATTTGATTAAACTTTGCTGTTAAAAATAACCCTCAATGGTTAAAAGATTTGATTTAGGATATGATTAACAATTCACAATCATCTTTAACCAGTTTCTCTCAAAATATCATCTCCGGAGAGCCAGAAGGGCGTTAAATATATGTAGAGGTGTCGTGGTCGAGTGGATATGTCACCGTACTGTGGATCAAAAGGTCTATGGTTCAATGTCCTTTGACAAGACATTGATCTACATTTGCCACTCTCCACCCAGGTGTTAGATGGGTACCAGGTAGGATGCGTAAGCTAATGTGGTTAGATTAGCAAGTGTGCGCTTGTACAAATGACGCCTAGCTGGAATGCTCCCCAGGGAGTGGACAATATGCATACATTATGTGCGGGTAAGCCTGAACCCAATAATATACTTATCTGTAAAGCGCTTTGAGAGGGCCTGCGGTCCTGAAAAGCGCTATATAAGAACGAGCTATTATTATTATTATTAAAAGTATATGACTTAATGCCCTTCTGACTGAAGAACTAACTTACTTGATTGTTTGAAGGAAGATTGGTCTGTTGGCATACTGATCAGGTAATCTCGCCAGGATTGCCTTCAATGATCTAGCTTGCTGGTTCATCCTGATGAATTTGTCATCTCTCCTCGTTAGTATGTATTCTGATGATCAAAGTAAAAAATGGAAATAGAAAAAAATTCTGAGAAATTCATATTCTCTCCTCATTAAAGGTAAAGACCAGTTATGGTCATGCGATTGCATTGTGAAAGAAAAGGTTGATCATCTAGCATCTAGCATCTGCAAGGTTCTGGAATCATCAAAATGATAAGAAATTTGGCCCATTCTTCGTAAAGTTACAAGCACTATACACAGAAAGATGTATATGGGACTACCCTATATCTCTCACAGACCTTGAGAGAAACAAATTTACCAAATATATGAATTAGTAGGCGGTTTCCCCGGCAAATTTTTCATCATCATGTATTATTCAAAACATATTCTTTCACATGATTGGTAATGAGAGCTTCCATTTCATTTTTTGAAACTGGGGCGTTTCCAATACTGGTCTTTACCTTTAATATGTATTCTGCAGTAAGGAATTGGAATTGAAAAATAATCTAACCAGTTCAAGGCATAGAACTTTTGCATATCTGAACTATTTGCAAACTCAAAATTTGCAAACATTTCATGGGCACGACAGTTTCTGATTTTTACAGTAAGTGAGTGATATGTGCTTTACATTACTCTACCTTACAACACAGATAAGGGAATACGTTATAAGGGTCTTTGTAATGTACAGCTAATTTTCTCAATCTCTTTATACTATTACAAAAACAAGATGGACCTTCGACCACGCGCAGTCGAAAATGATGCCTCCGCCATGGAGCAATTTTACAAACCAAACAGAAGCGAGCTATTTTTGCAAACATTATGAGCCTTGTGACATGTGACATTTGACCTCGTTACCCCCAAATTTAATCAGTTCAATGGCTCTGCAAGATAAATACATGACAGAAGTTTGGCGGGAATCCATCAATGGGTTCTTGAGATAACGCGATCACGAGCTATTTTTTGCATAAATAATGAGTCCTGTGACCTTTGACCTTGAATCTCGCGACCCCAAAATCTAATCAGTTCATTGGCTCTGCAAGATACATACATGACCCAAGTTTAGCGGGAATCCATCAATGGGTTCTTGAGATAACGCGATCACGAGCTATTTTTGCATACATAATGAGTCTTGTGACCTTTGATCCCGCGACCCAAAAATCAAATCAGTTCATTGGCTCTGCAAGATACATACATGACCAAAGTTTGGCGGGAATCCATCAATGGGTTCTTGAGATAATGCGATCACGAGAACGGGACGTACAGACGGACGGACAACCTGAAAACATAATGCCTCCGGCTACTTTGTAGCAGAGGCATAAAAAGTAGTTTTTATTTTGAACAGGTTGTCTTTTAAAATGATAAAAGGTGTACCAAATTGTGTATAGGTAGAAAATAAGACCAAAACATGTTTTGGTGATTGTCAACTTCACATGTAAACAAGGCTTTAGGGTAGAACACTCACCTTCACTGTCTAATGCAGCTAATTTGAGAAGACTTTCTGTAAGGTTGATATTCTTGGACTTGGCTTCTAAGATACCATGGACGAGTTGCTTTGTGAAACCTGGCTTCTTCTTCTCCATCTTGTTGAACGCTGCCCTCAGGGTCTGGGAAGCTGCCACATCCGTTTGCTGCATCTGGGGGTGGGGGGGGGGGGGACCAAACATGACTTTGGGTTGAACCGCTATGACATTTTGATGCAACAATTGCTTCACCATCGATATCCTAGATACTAAATTTTTGACATTGTAATTAATTAATGTATTATAATTGAATATGTTACTCTAATTGATTTTTCAAAAAATATTTGCTTTCTGTATTTACTTTGGTCGTAATGAATTAATACTCTTAGCTACATTTCTTTAGTTTAAGGTTTTTATATTTCGTTTTTGTAACCATTTACATCTACTTGAACATGCTTATTTTTTACTTTTTAAAGCGCATAGAGAAACTTCTGTTTTTTAGGCCTTATTACTATTATAGTGAAATGTAAATGAGAAAAGCATAATGTTGCTCACCTCATCAAGGATGGGATAGAGTAGGATGTGAAGGGGGAAGGACTCTACAGTAGATGCATCATGTTCATCATCCATGGTCATTCTGTTGGTGGACCGTGCGGACCCGTTTGCAGTCGCAATGGTGATGGTTTGGTGTGGCTCTTGGCTGTGTGATCAAATAACCCTTTCTCTTCCTTTCTCCACTGAAAGCACAAGCAGATACTATTATTCAGTTATATTATAGCATAGTGTATTTCATTACAGTATGTGACAAAACAAAAAACAAACAAAAGTGACAAAAATGGCTGAATACTAATAATATTGAATCATTGTAGTAATAATAATAATAGGCATTTCTATAGCGCCGTCTATCTAGAAATTCTATTCCGAGACGCATTTATTATTACCCTGGCTTTAGCCTAGCTGCCATTACAGCGCTCCAGCATTTCAAGGAATTAATTCCTGCCAGGTACCCATTTACCTCACCTTGGTCGAGTGTGGTAAATGAAGATTAATGCCTTGCCAAAGGACATTGGTGCCATGTCGGAGATCGAACCACATCCTTCAAATTACAAATCAAGTGCTGAAACCACTCCACTACGACACTTCTATTTATAGTATACACTTAAATACTATAACACTGCTGAATATACAAGTATACTCCACTGCACTTTAGAAAGTATCATATTATTAGCCAGGCTTTAGCCATACAACCAAGATAAGCTGCTCAGACACAAGTATTCAAAGAATATATTCCTACCACATACTCATTAACCTCACTTGGGTCGAGAATGGAAAATGCCCATTTTATGTCTTGTCAAATTGAATGCATATCATTTTCTGTTGGTATAAACAGGAGGCTTCTAACATGTTTAAATGGGAAAGTCCAAGTCATATCACCAGCTATATGTTATACCAACTACATCAAAGTTTAAGTATACCTGATAAACCTGGTAAAAAAAACAGATATTAAAGGTACTATGTCCCATTTGCAGGCCAAAAAAATGAAAAAGTTAAATTCCAACTGCATTTGAAAGATAATACTAATTTAGAACTTCCCTAAAAAAGGCGGGGCTTGAAAACATCTTCAAGTGGGAAAATAACGACTATTAGTTGTCAAATCGACTTTAGGGCTATAGAGCCCAAAAGTAATAGTCTGAATTTTCAGACAATTGTACCGAATGGTCATACGTTTTATGCTGCGCAAAGATTCAATCAGTTTAATCTTGGCCATCACAAGAAGTGGGTTATTGATGTAGACAAATGCTCATGTACCCTTTACAACTCTTTTCATGTATGTTATTACCAAAGAAGAAAAAAAGCCAGTCAATCACTCAATAGTGTCTGACAGTGAAGTCTAGCAAGTAAACGGGTTTCCTTGCATAATTTGAATATGAGGACACTGCTAACGTTTAAATTTCACAGATCGGACATACATGACATATTCATAATTCCTGCAAAGTTCTACAGCATTTAAGGTTGGCTACAAAAGGGACATAGTACCTTTAAGTAATATTCAGTAATAAAAATTACTCTTGTCAGGTTGAAAGTGTTTACCTTTTCCTGTGGAGGAACCTTCTACAAAGCGCACTGTTCTTTCCTTGAATCCAGATGCTTCACCAAACATACATGTATGATCTGGGTGATGCTTTCCCTGTGCAGTATTTTGGACCATGTAGTGCCTTGATCTTGTAACCAACTTTAGATCATTCTCAAATCTTGAAGTCTTCTCCAGTTAAAGGATCATTTTCACCTGTAGATTCTAAATAGATGTGAAGTACGGAACATGAATTAATAAACAAGATCGGTGGGAACTAATAGATTTATCTCTATTTCATAAACCATCAAAACCAAGGCTGGTAACAATAGGCTAAACAGGAATGGAAAAGACCCAAATATTGTAAAAGGATTTTGTATCTGTCACTAGTCACTACAAGTTTACACAAAAAACATGTGAGCCTGATTACAATGTACTAAGGCTGTGCACAACAGTGTAATTAGGTACCCGAGTACACTCCCAGGCTTACAAGCGAACACTTGAATATTCAGTTGCCATGTTTTATTATAATTTTTTTATTTTTTAATTTTGCCACCACCATATCACTGGAGCAGTATCCCAGTCGCCGAAAACGCATGCAATTTTACTTTGATTTGCAGTTGAAGGCGCCGATTTAATAATAATAATAATAACAGTAAACAATGCTGTTTTAAAAACCAAAGATGGCAGGATAATCCATTTTCTTCCAAGTCCAAACAGAAATCCAGACATTTGGTCCCAGTTTCTGAGTGGTGAGTTTGACAGTGCTTGAGTTGGGAAACATTTTTATCGAGGGTACCATGCCAGCAGCCGCCGCTCTCCCTGGCACGGGTAAGCGTCGGCCTGGACAATGCCAGGTGACCTGGATTTTTTTTTTTTTTTTTTGCGGCCGAATATTCGAGTATGAAAAATTGTACTCGAGTAGTTGTCAACCGTGCGGGTACTCGAGCATTTGACTACTCGTCGCAGCCTTACAATGTACATTGATGATAATAAAGATGAGATCTCCATAGATATAAATTGATAGATAAAAAAATCTTTATGTTATACATTCAATATATATGATAATAAAGATGAACTCTACATATATATAAATTGATAGATACAAAAAAAATCTTTGTTATACATTCAATATATGTACAATTTAAAGATGAACTCTACATATAAATTGATAGATAAAAAAGATCTTTATGTTATAAATTCAATATATGTACGATAATAAAGATGAACTCTACATAGCCTATATAAATTGATAGATAAAAAAGAAACATACCGAAAATCGACTAAATCTTCATCAATTGTTCAAATAATGGTCATGATTTAAAAGTTGTTATGTTTCTTACCTGTTTCATGTCAATTTTCATATTTTTTGGAGAGTATTTTTCCTAAAAACAAAGACTTATAATAGACTATTCACTTTCTCACAGGATTCACGGCAAACTGCTGCACAATACAATTGTATATATTTAATTTTAATTGTGCATGTTTTGATTATATATTGACTTAAGTTAGCGACCGTATTGATGAATTACTTAGATTACAGTCGCTAACACACGCGCGCGACCGCACCTCACCATATGCAATTGTATTGCGCAGCAGTTTGCCGTGAATCCTGTGAGAAAGTGAACTTTATAAGTATATAACTTCTTTGTTTTAAGGAAAAATACTCAACAACAAAAAATTGACACAAAACTGATTCGTTTCCTCCTTAATACTCAGAAAAAAGTTTTGACTGGAGGTGGTGGAGCTGGAGGGTGGATGTTTACATTTTGGAAAAACGTTCTTTAGTAGGTCTAACTACATTTTAAAATGAAAGTGGGGAATGCCTTTCCTTTTTTTCAGATTGTTTAGCGGCACTACACTGTAGTCAATGTATTGCGACAAAGTAGTAGCCTACTTAACATTTTAACTTTCAGTGAATTCTAAATTCTGACATCTCCAAAACTGTGCTGAGCTGAGCTGAAACAAAGCCTGAAGTTTGTCATCTTCTTTTTATTCTTCCAAACTTTAAAGTTTAATTTCTAAGTGTTATGCAGCTTGCAGCCTATCATTATCAAGAAATTGAATTAGTTCATAATTTGTAAAGAAATACATTTGGAGAGAGACGAAATTTAAATATCATTACCGTGAAATAGGAAAACACCATTCGTACATCTTACTTTCCCCCTGAATTGTCGGGCAACAACATCGCACGCGCACGAACGTCGAGTTCGGTGCCTGACAAACAGTCAAACTCGAGTAAAAAAAAAATTAAAAAAAACTGTCGTTAGTTTCAACTTTCACATCAAACTTTACTACGTTAGATCTATACATTTGGATTCTGAATCTCACTTAACTAATGCATATTCCTTTCATAATACAATCTAACAAATTACCGCTATATTCTTTCAATCCGCCAGAGAATGATGCCAAATGTCTCAAGAAGATCGTTTCTCCCATTCAGTTCCGTGCTAAGCAATTATCAGTCCCACGCATTAAAATTTGTGTACATTTCGACTTTTTGTTCCTCAAAAGATGAAAATCTGAAAGTCTCTATTTAGTGGTTTAAAAGCAATCTTTTAAATATAATTTTTATAATTTTATTACAAATATAAATCGATTAATTTTGATACTATATTATTTAAAAGTTATCATAATACACAAACATCATGATTATTTTTATCCATGTAACTATTTCATAACAAATTGGCAACATGTAGATTATTTGGGTGGAGTCGTTTTGTTTATGACTGATAATAATGGGGCTATGATCTAATACAGATCAGCCCGCAATCCGCACGTAGCTAGCTAGCTGTGTTTGGGAAGGGGTGTGGTAGGGGCATGGTTTTACCAGGGAGATGTTTATCAATTAACTGTGATAAAATGTAATGATATATTACTTAAATACAATATACGTCACAAAGATAAAGCAGGCCTATGAATTAAATCTTATCCATTTATGATGGGTCGTACGTTCCACATTATTCTGCACTTTCTGGTTTTTAAAAAGTGTTTCGTCTTCGTCTATGCTGGTACTCATCAAAAGCCTTTTCAGCAACTAAACCAGGATTGTGGTGTGGTGTCTCTCATATTGGTCATAATTGACCATAGTGCATAGTGTTTTTTTTTTTTTTTTATACAAGTTGCTATTTTGCAGAGCTAGAAACTATAAAGATGATCGGGCAAGAGATGGTTCCGCCCCTACAAAAATGTACTTGAATATGAAAAAATTGCCTATATAAAGTTATAAAGCGTATGACTCAAAAGGAAAAATATATTTCATTTTCAGATTGTGCATGTTTTGATTATATATTGACATTTTTTTCTCTCCTGCTTATTTACGACTTTAATTATGATTATGCATTTGTTTCCATCTCTGTTTCTAAAACAAAATCATTTTCCTGTAGACCTACTTTAAAATAAAGTCATTGTATTTGGTTTGAATCGAATTGGATCGAATCGACAAGGTTTATTGATAAAAGTTAAAAGTCACAGCTCATAGCTGATACATGACATGTTGAATTTACCCCCCAAAATGCTAACATGTAAGGTAAAAGCAAAAAGTATGATCTGAAATAGGCAAATATAAATTTAAGACATCCAGCAGTTAAATTGATGTAAAAGGAGAAGAAAGAAGAAGGATCGGATAAAAGTTCTACAATTCAGATTACAAGTAAAATTTCAGTAATGAAATCTGTTCCTGACCGATGTAGAGGATTTAGATAACTTTTGATTACTGATACACAATGTCCTTGTCAATAAATAAAATCGAAAGATTTCTATTTATATACATTATATAGACAGTCTGCTATAATTATAATACGATTACAGCTGCTATATTTCATTTCATCGACTCGGAACAAATATTATATATCTAAGTTTTTAGACTGATATGCTACTAAAAACATGATTGATTGCAAGACAATTACTAAGAAGTGGAAATAAGAATTGGTAATTGGTATTCAAAAAAGTACAGTGTAATATCGATGTTCATTTTCAATGTTCACATTGATTATACAAAAGTGTGTTTGCCAACATGGCCAAATTAATAACTAATTAAAATGTAAAAACAAATCAAATCCACCAGCCTTATCTTTAAAAAGAGTACATAGCATACATGTCATCAAACATGCATTCAATTGAATAGAACTGAAGGGCTATTACGATAAGCGATTGCTTGATAGCGTGATAGCCCCCCCCCCCCCCCCCCC